GTGACAGAGGTCTCACTCTGGAGGAAACTCTCAGCACTTTCCAGCAGCTCCTCCATCATGGAGGACGTTCCCTCACTGTAACAGGTGGAGGAGAGAGGAGAGGAAGCACAGGTGGAGGAGAGAGGAGAGGAAGCACAGGTGGACCCTCTGAGGAAGAGGAGCGTTCCTATAACCACATGATCACATGACCTGAAGGGCGTGGCCTTCAGTGGTCGTAATAAAGGAACAGTCCACATGTTCCACTTTGAGACGGCACAGTATTGACTCAGTATGATGGATTGTTTGGATTTGTCTTTGCTTCTCTGGCTTTTCTTGTGTGTCTTTGTATGTCGGATAGAGTCATGTGACCTTCCCAGGGACTACACATGGAAATGAGCAGTTTAGCTCAAATCTGGCAGGTTTCCATCTTCTACTGTTTCATATTGATTTTATTGAAATGAGCCATCCTGTTAAATAAGTGAAAATAAAAACAACTGGCTAACTTTTAGTCTGATCCAGTTTTTTTCTTCTTAAGTGAGTGTTTACATCTCAAAACACTTGCTCACAGCTTTTCATCATCCTGTTTCAATGAATAAAACATGTGTGAGGTCACTTCCTTTGGATGGAGTCAGCTGCTGGTCACCTTGAAACAAACACACAGCTCAAATCACAGCTTGTTTTTTTTTTTCTTTACAAAGAAACCGTCTCTCTCTCTTTTTTTTCTTTCTGGATCCACAGTGTTTTTAATATGTGGTCACTGCATGCTAACAACATGCAGTGAGTGGGGTTGATGATTGTCTCTCTGTGTTGTATTATGACAAACTACTCTCCTCTACATGACTTATGTAGCCTATCACACAGCACTACTAATTGGATCCCTCCATCGATTTTTTTACTATGTGAATTCCACATTCCTCTGTCTCTTCCTCACTTCCCCACAGCTTGTGCTAGCAGCAGTGACTGTGAGGCCTGGTTACTAGTGGTTGCTTTTGTTACTGTTCACAGTGCTGCAGCCCGGCAGTTATGTTGGTTAACTTGACTCATTATTAGTTTCTTTTTATTGTTTTCTTTTAGCTTTCCGGCTCCACCTTTTCACTCCTTCTTCCACAATAAAGTTTTTCTACAAACTGAGAGAGCGCACAGCAAAGGCAGGGGAGGGGCCAGTGGCGTTAAGAGATTTGATTAGGCGACCCAGTGGCTCAAAAGTGCGTTAGGCCGACCAGGAAAACACCCAGTATGCCAGATTACTGGTCCAACCCTGATCCTACCTCATTCTGCAAAGATGTTAATGATCAGAAAGTTGTAAATGGTTTCCACTACAACCACGTCTGCCTTAGACAGATTAGTCCCTGAACATGGTTTGTCTGGTTCCAGGATTCCTCATTATGATCCAATCTTGTTGTCACTATATAATAATATATTTAAAGATATACAAATAAATAGATAAATATATTTATCTTGTACATAGTTGTTACGTTTCATCCATTCTAATGTCTGATATCTAAAACCTGCAGGACACCGGCCCTTGAGGTCTGGAGTTGCCCATACCTGATCTAAACAGTAGTCTGGGACACACAAGTGTTGTGCCAGGGTAGGTATCCCCAACAGAATGGTTCCCCTGTGTCGGAGCACGCACTGGGCTGTCTAAATCGCACACAAACAGTATCCCTCCTTCTTGATTTTTAGTTCACAAAAACTTCTTATAATGACTTATTACTCCTGATATTTTGGAGGTGTTAGTTCTTTAAACAGTAAAGTTACAAGAGGATACAAATACTTATCAGGCAACACGTCCTCAGTTAGTTGAAATAACACGTGAGAACAATAAATGTATAATTTTCTGTAGTAACCCACAAAATGAACGGTAATGTAACACTCATCTTTGACTTTTTCACTAAAGTAAAACGTCACTGCTTCCACTTCTAGTTGGTTGTAATGGAGGCGGAGTCAACTGGATCCGCTCTCTCTGGCCCAGATTGCTCCCTGTAAAACAGAAAGTAACCGCTCCTTTGTGTGTTAGCAGTAGCTGCAGGTGTCGGATCGTTCGGTCAGCAGAGGATTTATCGGGACTTTGTGCTGGATTTAGTGATTTTTACAGGATGGGGATGTTGCTGCTGTTCTTGCTCATCATAAACGGTAAGAAGATCACCCTGAACGCTGTTTCAACGGAGACTGTTACCTGCAGCAGCTCCGCATTTTGATCATAGTCACGCAGGTAAACCCGCGAGGTGCCAGAATATTACGATTTAATGATGAGTGGCTACACTTGTAAAAGTATGATGAATGGTCAGAGACAGTCCAGGACCCAGAAACAACTACCGAACGCCTGAAGCAAGGAGAGAGTATGCTAAAGTAGAAGTTTTCCACCTAGGGAAAATATGGGCGTGACTTCGCTGAGGCCAGGTGATCAACAGATTTGAAACGATCTGAGTTCAGGTAATGTAAATTACTTCAGGTCTAAAACCTCTAAAACCTTGTGATAATAACAGTTTATAAGAAACATGACAAGATCATTATCCAAACGGTTTAACGTGCGCGGTGTTCTATACAGGCACTGGAGTGGACAGCTATCTCTGTCTGCTGTCGTAGAGGCAGGTACACTCAGCAGTCAGAGTGAAGTATAGTTGTTGTTGTTTTTTTAAATTTTATTATTTTGGTCAAAAACAAAATGAACAATGGATTTTGGGGTTAAAAACACAATGGGGGATGTTCAAGTGTTGAATGAATAAATTAATAAATATATATGACCTGTAGTATACCCTAACTAAATAGATGAGAAGACAATATTTTATAACTTGTATGTGGGCTATCAATATCAGTTTTTTCACCTTAAGACTCAGCAGCCTTTGGTGAACAATCATGTCTCTGTCTCTGTGCTAATCTATCTAAGACACATAATGAGACAAAAAAAGGCTTCATTTGCAGAGTTTGAAACCTCTGAGGAGGACAGATTTGGTACCCTGAACAAACATAATTAATGGCACCGGTATAAGGTATATAAAAATAAATAAATCTTGAATCATGAGGGTCAGGAGGCTCATGTCTAAACATCACATGGTTTAGGCAATATGACAATTCGAAAACTTGTCCTGTTAGAGACTTCCAGCAATGATTTAGAATAGCATTTCCATTGTATTGCTATAGAAAGTGGGTAGACTTTGTTGCTTTCAGACGATTTGCCAGAAATGTGTAACTCCCACAATAAAGACAGTCACATTTTCTGACAGCCTACAAAAACACTTCTGTTTTGATGTATAATTTGTGTGGGCAGAGTGAAAATTGAGCGAGTAAGAAGAGTTTTTTCAGACATGAAAAACAGATTCAAAAAGTTAGAGTGACACACTCCAAACGGAGCTCCATATCTTTTGAAAAATCCTCATCATGGCACCCAAAACTTAACAAGATATTTTTGGAAAATGCTAAGAGATGTGAAAAAAGTTGAAATATACAGTAATAACCCAATAACTGGAGAACATTTTAAAGTTGGAGTGGTGTTTGTACGTGAACGTATGCATAAGTATTTAAGCTTCAAAAACAAGCAAGTTTTAGCAGAGTATTTGATGTTTTCCATTCATTTTTATGGTGCAGAAAGTCATAAAAAAGGTCAATATTTTAAAAATTATAGAGGTCATATACACTAAAAGATGTACCCAGAATTACCAGAAATAGCAGAATATTTTACAATTTGAACAGTAAAAGTAGCACAAAAGTTGTGGTATTTCATTGGCAAAAAATACCAAACAAAAGCAACTTGAAAATGAAAAATAAAGAATACAGATATGAACTCAATAGTGTGAATGCCTTTCAGCATTCACACAGTTAGTTTTATTGATAGCTTTACTACGTAGGTGTCCATGATTTATATTAAGCCTAATACAGTTAGTGCTTCATGTCCACTTTAAACACAGTGACTGCAGGTCACAAGTGGTATCACTAATGCAGTTCACCTCCACAGGAATTACAGTTAATATAACCACGAGCCATAAGAACAAATAATATCATATACTATGTTTGACTTAAAATGTACCCACACAGCCAAACAACTTAACTAATGGTAAACAGTTTAAAATGAGCATAGTTATTTTAACTTACCATAATGTTATAAACTCTGGTGTGCAGATTAAAATTCATTTAACTTTCCTTTCATTCCTATTATTATTCTAACGTTTTTCTCCAGGTCTGTGATGCTGCCTAACAGAACTTCAGTGGTCACAATATAAATATAATATTTTACAGTGTGGAGTTTGTACCCATGTGAAAACCATATTCTCCTACAGCTGCTTCTCATTCATCTGAATTGCCATGTTCACTTCAGAGAGAAACTTGTAAATTCCACACTTACACTGTGTTATTTTGGTTATGACATCGTCCCTCATCAGATCTGCTTGTTTTTGACCAGCTAATTAACACTTGTTCCACTGTGGAAATAAATAGGTGTGTCTGTAGTTTCTTGGCATGCAGAGATTTCAACTCCCTTGAACACATTTTTGAAGTTGCTACCTTATTTTGATTCGCCCCACTTAGGAAATGAGGGAGTATTTCTTTTCAAAGATTAGTTCATAACTCTCTATGTGTGTCCTCACAGTTTCCCAGCATGCTCTGGCTGTGGTAGAGGTGAATGAGGGGGAAAGGTCTGTCGTGTTGCTGTGTCTGTACTCAGGTTTTATACCTGAGGACTCCACAGTGATGTGGACTCGCAGTGACCTCGATCCCAATTCAGTCCACCTACGACAAGAAGGAGGAGACAATCTTAGAGGACAAAACCAGCATTACAGAGGGCGCACATCAATGAATCGTTATGCTTTAATCACAAATGACTTCAGCCTCACTCTGACGAAACCCTCAAAGACTGACAGCGGCAACTACACCTGCTCCATCAGTGCTGGAGGAAAAGAACGGAGACTGGGAGACATCCAGCTGCAGGTCAAAGGTCAGCAACAAACCCAACACCGGCTGTAATTACAGGTCAAATACAATACTGTAATCAGAGGTCAAACTGAAGCAAATTATTTCCTCGAGTGTTCTAAAATTACTGATGAGACCAGCAGCATCATTTAGCACAGACCTAACCTCAGTGGAAGCATGAAGAACAAAACAGAAGATAACTGGAGCTTACTGAATCATTAACATTTCTTTTAGAAGTGTGTCAGAATCTGTGATTTTATGGACCTGATTTCAAAAACCTTCAAAATGATTTCTGAGTAGTTTGTAACTGTAGCATCATCTCCTCAGTTCCAGTTTAGTTAGCATTCAAAAGAAATATAGTGAAAGATTATTATTATAATACACTGCTCAAAAAAAGTGAACACTTCTGCACTAATAAATTAGACTAACTATTCACTTTAGCTAAAGTTATTAAGTTAGCTAAAGAGTTGGGATGCTGTGTAAGACATACATAAAGCTAAAATACAAAGGTTTGGACACCGTTTTGCATGTTTCCCTACTGTAGGGGTCTCTGCAAGCATACAGGGCTCTGAGAGGGTACAAGATGACAACTTTGGAATTCTACTAGAAACAGTCGATCATATTTGTTTGTCAAAGCTGAATCCAGGGCAAACTATGCTAAATCTGCGTTTTTAGCTAACAGCGACAATAAGCATAAACGTTACTGAGATTGTGGTGTTCAACAGTAAAATCCCTCGTGCCCAACTCTGTGCTGCCCTGGGTTCCTTTGCTAGCTTTTCTTGTGACTATGTCAGTAACTTGGGTGTACTGCTGGATAGCTAGCTCAAACTCGATAAGCAAGTGTCTGCTGTAGTGAGATCTAGCTTCCACCAACTGTGCCTTATCTCTAAG